CCCCCCCCCCCCCCCCATTCCCAGAAGAGTTTTGTTGCTGGGGGGTCGCCCCCCCCCCCCCCCCCAGTCCTCCACGCGAGCGGTGTGCAGCCCCCTTTTGGAGTTTGTGGGTGTTCTCAGCATCTCCCAGGGAGCATACGCGATGCCATATCGAAGCGCACGCGTCCGAAAAGCCGAGACTGCGAATGCAGGCCTTGAGATCAAAGCCGAGCAGGCTTTTCAGGCCGCAGTTGCGAACAGGTGTTGTGAGGTCGGTTGTGTTTTTGTAAACCTCGAGGTCCTCCAGCGTACTGCACACGCCGCACGCGCTCTTGTGCGTGCGCCGCGCGCCCGGCACCGTGGCCGCCTCGGCCGCCGTGAGGGAGCGGAGGAGGTAGACGTCGCGCGACACGGAGTGGTAGTGAATGGAAGGCACGGCGTAACAGTCGCGCCAGAGGTCAATGAAGGTGTTGTAAGGGTAGCGAGGGTAGGGGTCGACACTCATGTCGACGAAGCCAACTGCCGCTTTGATGGCTGCAAAATATTGAGCACGTGCCCGTGCGGACGGGTCTCGGCCATCGTCATGATTGATGCCAATGCCAGAGACATGATAAATGCCGCCGCACGCACCGCGATGGCGCGAGAAACTGACTAAGTATGCCGGCCCTAGTCAAAAAAAACGCCGCTAAACACTCGAGGTCAGACCAGGAGTGGAGATCCTAGCCGATTCTACCACACAGTCGGGCTTGGTTGAAGATGAAAGATTGAGATCACAGATTGTGGATCGTGTTGGCAGTTCCCAGGGTCAAAGGTGGGGATTGGAGATGGGGAACCCAGTTTGTAGATCCTCGCGCCGGGCATCCCCCCCTGGGGGGGAGATTGGAGATCGAGATTGGAGATTGGAGATCGCAGCTGGCGGCGGCAGGGGTCAAATGGGAGATTGGAGATTGGAGATTGGAGATTTGCGGTGTGGATGAATCAATAGCGCATTTCCTTGAAGGTTTGAGGGCCCCCCCCCCCCCCCCCGGCCCCCCGAATCGAGATTGGAGATTGGAGATTGGAGATGGAGATCGGAGATCTAAACTGGATCCGGCAAAATATGACGCTGGAGATTGGAGATTGGAGATAGAGATTGGAGATCTGACTGGATCCGGCCTAAGATGTGTCGACGCTGGAGATTGGAGATTGGAAATTGGAGATTGGAGATCACAGAGGCCGCTGTGATGATCTTTTTGTTTTTTAAACGGTGACTAGGTGCGCGGGACAGGCCCGGGGAGCCTGCGGCGCCATTTTAATCTGCGCTCCTCTTTATGGCCTGCAGCGCCTGGC